GGAGGCGGATAGAAGATGGATAGAGAGTTGCAGTGGGAGAGAGATCCCTTGAGGTTTGTCCGGAGGGAGGAGGGTAACTTCTTCAGGCTAGGCATCCTTAGAAGAGGCTTCGCAGTGGGGTTGAAATTGAATCAGAGATAGTAGGAACTGCAGATGCTGGAGAATCCGAGACAACAAGGTGCAGGGCTGGATGAACACAGCAGGCCAAGCAGCATCATAGGAGCAGAGATGCTGATGTTTCGGGCCTAGACCCTTCATCAGAAAAGGGGGAGGGGAAGGGGGTTCTGAAATAAATAGGGAGAGAGTGGGAGGCGAATAGAAGATGGATAGAGAGATCCTGTTGCCCCTGGAATACACTCAAGGACTTACATTCCTGTGTGGTTCAGGGCCTTTAGGAGAGGACGAAAGAAAACAGTAGTAAATTGATGACAGCTATACTAAAGGGAGGAATGATGTTTAACTAGAATGACAGTGAAAATATCAAATGGAATGTCTTAAGTAAACCACAAGGAAAGTAAGACATTATCTAACCTCTCCTTGAATAAACGTCATCAAATACCTCACAAACTGCATAACAACATCCAGTAGAGAAGTGAAATCATTAGCATTTGCTTTCATCTCTCAGTACAGCCCTGGAGCAATTCCTGCATCACCACTCTCTGCAAGCAGCAAGCTATTTCTTTGAATCAACAGATAGGCTGCATACTCAAGACATTTGTTCTGTTCAGGTGAGATGTAATGCTTTGAGATATTTATAATTTCTAAACTGTTCTTGTGCATTTTTTAATAAATAAGACATTAAATGTTGTTTTGTTTAAAAAAATGCTTGCTGTCAGTACTCGAGGACTAGAACTTGCTAAAATCATCCAGAACTCTTGTTTCTATTTACTATATCCAAAGACTCCTAGAGAGGCATGTATATGTGTAGACAGGGTCAGGGTCAGTGGTATTGTGTCCAAAGTCAAATAGCTTTCCACGTTTCCCTATCTAGTGCTATATGTGAAGATTGAAGACTTCATCAAGGTGTCAGAGTCCTGCTGCCTTGTGATGCTATATTTAGTTTCAAATTACATAACACAACTTCAAGCACACTGGTTAATGCTTCGGGTATAATTTTATTATCAATGTGATAACAAATTTCTCCTTTGTTAGCTATGGGCTTCAGAGAAAGGATGAAAATGCAGCTTGTATTCTTTTGAATCTATTTTGCTGAAATTTGCCATGAAAACCAATTCATTCTGTTTCTTTAGAACTTTGTACGAAATGCTGATAATTCATTTGATAAGAATGTAAGTACAGTGCTGGTGTTGTTTTGTGGGTGCAGACAGCGAGGGAGAGTATTGTAACCCTTAATGCTTTCCCCATTTAAGTTACCCTGTTATAACAAAGTGCCAAACTGAAGCTGATCTCCCAAGGAAAAAATCAGAGCACAAATTATCAGTGGACGAAACAGGATAGTTTGAGAGAAAATAAAAGTTCTGCACTCTGAGAGAAAGGATTTAGGTGTAAAACTACATTGGAAATCCTTTTATTACAAACTTTAGGATTGTATCCTTTGGAGTTTAGAAGAGTCAGAGGGTGACTTAATTGAAACATCTAAGATCCTGAGGGGAATTGACCAGGTGAATGTTGAAAGGATGTTTACTGTTGTTGGATAATCTAGAACAAGGACTCATTTTTGAAAAAATAAGGCGGCACCCGTTTAAAACAGAGATGAGGAATCATTTTTCTCTCAGAGGGCTGTGAGTCTTTTGCATTCCCTTTCTCAAAGGTAGATAGATTCTTGATTACCAAGGGGACGGAAGATCATTGTGGGGGATGCAGGAATGTAGAGTTCAGTTGTGAGTCCTACTGTTGTTCCTTGCTTGTGCATTCATTACTGAGACCACATGCTTTTTATTTTGATTCCAGCTGCAGTCCTATTACCATCAGCAGAGGAACTGAAATCTCGGTAAGATAAACTGAATTATTCAATGGTGGTTTGTATGATTAATTACCCTATATAGTGTAAATATTATTTGTAAAAGATCTACTGTTTTCAGCAAAACTGTGCAAATATGAGCTGCTATGGATCATCATCATCATCAGCAACAGAATTGCACGCAGCCACAATCTGTAATCTTGTAACCTTGCACAGTTCTTACTCCTTCATTACCATGAGGCTAAATGATTCAATTGTACATGTAGAAGGACATCTCTGAAACACGAAAGTTATGCCTCTGATAAGATATAGGTCTACCTGCAGCAATCTATATTCAGAGCTAAGTGTTACACAATCGACAGAGTCTTGTAACCCCATCACAGTTAGTCAGGAATGGTAATGGACAATCAAAAAATAACTGCAAGGAATCACATTCCCAATCTCAACTGTACTTCAGATGTGAATACAAGAATGTAACTGATTGAAGGGTTTGCAAATATTCTTTATTGCCATCAGGGTAATAATTTCACTTCACATCCTCCTGCAGTTTCTGTGACAGTTTCCAGCTAATTTAGCGAGTTCCATGCTATATTAAGAAATGGCTGAGTGCACCAGATATAAATGAAGGACATGGGTTATGATGATATAAAATATTGATCTTTGAATTCCATTGGTTGACATAGTGCCTGGTACTTTCAAGAATGGAAATGGTTTTTAAAATGGTTCCAAAACACAGACGTGAAATGGATGTCACCTTAAGCACACACGCTGCTCAAATTTCATTAAACCGATGTGGATTGGACCAAAGGCAGTCTGAGCTGAAATTAACACTTTCTCCAAGTGAAATAAAATCAGTCAGAGATCTATAGGAAGCATGAGAAGGTCATCATCTCCTGTTTGATTTACACCATTATAAGAACATCAAATGCTGGATATGAAACATCTACCAGTATAACCAGGCTGGAAACAATAACCTCCATGGGCATGGGATATACAAACAATTTCTATTTGAAAGAAATTTTTGTCAGACCAAGGGAGATAGAATTAAGAATGTGAAAATGAGCATAGTTTGAGAAGACTCTCTCTCTTACAAGAAGAAAGTATCGAGTTTGACAAAACTGAGTGGAAGGAAGTGTTAAGAGAATTGACAACTTTAAAATTAAGTGCAACATTTGCTACAAGTGGTTCCATTCAGGAAATCACCGAATTAAAGTTGTTCTCAGGTTAAAGCCTCATGCCATGAGGACACCCAAGAGACTCTAAGCTGTATATTTTACTTTGTGTGTGTCCTGAAGGCCATATACTTATTAATCATTCATTTTCCTTGGAATTAGCAGTTAATAAATTTGCTTTTTATTTATTTCAAGGCAATTTTGTGATTGAAACCTTATTGCTTCTGGTAAAAGTAATTAACAACATTTTAATTAGAGAGCGTTATAGCCTTGTGCTAAAAAGAACTTAAACCTTTATTGTGACTAATATGTAAAGCTGAAATGAGGAGACCTGGTGCACCCCTCCTCACCTGTCATAACACTACTTTTTGGCTCTAATGCCAAAGATTTGCACACCCAGATCAAGCTGCTCTCTCAGATTAGCTGTTGGCCAATATATAATTGTCCTACAAAAACAAAGTTGCTGGAAAAGCTCAGCAGGTCTGGCAGCATCTGTGAAGGAAAAACACAGAGCTAACGTTTCGGGTCCGGTGACCTTTCCTCAGAACTGGGTCACTGGACCCGAAACGTTAACTGTTTTTCCTTCACAGATGTTGCCAGAGCTGCTGAGCTTTTCTAGCAACTTTGTTTTTGTTCCTGATTTACAGCATCCACAGTTCTTTTGGTTTTTATATAATTATCCTATCTGCCTTCTCCAATCATCAGTAAGTGACTGAAGATGCATTCAACTGTGCTATCAACTAAAAACAATCTTTTAACAATCTTCTCATAAGATTTACTTTGGATTCTGCCGGGACTACCCAACTTCAGTTGTTATTCTAAACTTGATCATGATATGAACACGGTCTAAATTCTGGAAGAGATGACAGTAACTGCTTTTGTCATCAAGGTGGCACAGTCAACAGGGATCAAAATGAAGATTCTTTAGGAGTTGTTAGTCAATCATCAAAGCCAACAGGAGTTATTTTGAGTGGTAACATCAATCCAAATATCTTCTGCTCTTACATCAGTGATATTGCCTCCAACCATTACAGTATCATTCCTGACAGATCCACAATATTCACTGTTTCTAATTCAACAACTCTGTGCAAAAGTGATGGTTGAAATGACAAGTAAGAATGACAATTGGGTAAAATCCTTGGCTCAGTGGTAGCACATATATAAATAATTCAGAAGGTTGCAGGTTGATGCTGCTTCCAGAGTCTTAGAGGCATGGGGACAGGAATAGCCCTCAAACCTCTCATGCAATTCAGTTAGTTCAATTCTAGTTACCCAACTTTGATGTTTATTTTTTGTTAATGCTATTGTTTTGTTACGATGACATGCCCTTTTAAGGGGCAACTTTCAACCTGAAAAGAATTATTAACCTGTATTTATCTCACGCCTTGTAGTCAATCTGCAAGCAGCCAAAGTAGATATCATTAGACAATATTTAGCCTCCCAGTGAATACTGCCTCTGTATAGTATTAACTTCAATTAAAGAACACATTTTTATTTCACTAATATTGTATATGATTGGTACATTTGGGCTTTAAAAAAGATGACTGTAACTTGGTGACCACTGCGGCAGCGGTCAATACTTTATACTGTTGAAGCTAAATGCTGCAGACTGAGCTGGGAAAAAGAACATATCCCATAGCAGCTCCTAAAAATGAAAGTAAGCCTGAAAAAAAGCATTTTTTTTTGTTGGCTTTCATTTTTGAAGGTTTGCAGGCATTTTACCACCTAAATCATTGTCTTGTGGTTGGAGTTTAAGTAAACTGAGAGAAAAAACATCAGAAAACTCAACAAAGCCTTCACTACAGTCAAGCAGCAACGTAAAGGTAGCAGTCATTAAAGAGACAACAAATCAAAGCTTAATGAACTTTAAAGAGCTGGAAGAAACTTGGGTTGGTGACAAAGCTTGAGACTTGATTAAAAGTCCTTCAAAAAATTAAAAGGTAACTGCAAAATTTCCAAAACTCAGTTGGAAGGCAACAAATTTCTTCTCTGTGTTTATTTTATTCTAACAATGCTTCAAGTGTATTTTTCTATCTCAATACTTCTGAACCAGGTAAATAGGCCATTAAAATTAAAATTTCTACAGGCAGTGAAGGCAGCCACATACTGAATAAGTCAGGTCTGCACAACAACAATCTTTAAAACCGGATAAGATGTGGTCAACACTTGCGGATCAATTATGAAGAAACCACAACTTATGCCTGGAATTCATATACTTTAGACAACAGATGACAGAGATCATTGACCCATTCATAAGTAGAAACAGAGACAACGATGTGATTACAACTTTACAGAAGTAGACCTGGCCAACAGGATAATCAAGCCCATTTGATTTGATTTGATTTGATTTATTGTTACCTAAGTAAGTGAAATGTTTTGTTTTGCATGTAGTTCAGGTCGATCATAACATACAAGGACATACAGATCATAGGGCGTTTAACAGGACAAGGTTACGGCTGCACAGGAGGTGCACAAGAGCAAGATCGACATTAGTTTGAAATTAGGCAGGTCCATTCAGCAGTCTAATAACAACGGGGAAGAAGCTGTTCTTGAACCTGATGGTACATATGTTTAAGCTTCTGTATCTTCTGCCTGATGGAAGAGTTTGGAAGAGATATTAGCGTGGTGGGAGGGTCTTTGATGATATTGGCTGCCTTTCCACAGGAATGAGAAGTGTAGATGAAGTCCATGGATAGGAGGCTGGTTTGCGTGATGGTCTAGGCTGTGTTCACAACTTTCTGTAGTTTCTTATGTTCCTGGATACAGCAGCTGCTCTAGCAAGCCATTATGCACACATATAGAATGCTTTCTATGGTGCCTCTGTAAAAGTTGGTGAGAGTCCTTGTGGACATGTCGAATTTCCTAAGCCTCCTGAGGAAGAAGAGGTGTTGTTGTTCCTCCTTAACCATTGTATCCACGTGGAGAGGACAGAACAGATTGTTAGTTATCGTCATTCCTAGAAACTTGATGCTCACAAACCGAGCTCCATTGATGTAGATAGGGCACATCCTCCTCCTTTTCCTCCTGAAGTCAATGATCAGTTCTTTAGTTTTTCTGACATTGAGGGAGAGATTGTTATCTTTGGACCACGGCACCAAGCATTCTTTCCCCTTGTGATACCTCATGATAGCATCTAATCCAGTAGAAGCATTCTAAATTGATATTTTAGACCAAATCTGAAGTTACATCATGGAAGCATGACTACAAAGCAGATGCAAGTACAAAGTCATACTAATGGGGAGACAGCCTATAGGCTATGTGTAATTTGTCCACCACTGGCATGATGGCCAATGCAGGCACACCTAGTAAACAATGACAATGATACGACAACATACATACTCCAATAAATTGCCCAATTTTCAAAACTGTATGTGAGACATGCACTACCAAATGACATTGGAAGTACCCAGGCAGAAAGCAAAGACTAGAACAATGCCAATGAGAGTCTCAGAGACCAGGCAGGTACACATTCTAACCAAACGGCTTCCAAATAGGTTCCACAAACTGTCTAGCCAATCTACAACATCAGATGAGGAAGGTGATCAGTGCATGATTATTCAAGGTGAGCACACATTCACCATAGCAAAAGTCAGAGAATCTATTAGTATAAAGTACCAGCAGAAACCTTTGCCACCCTCCAAATTGTATGCCCACAGTTGCAGGGTCAGCATTATCTATATGAAAACCTAGATACCAGTGCAGATACAAACATCTCTGCACGTCACATACTGGAATGTGTATATTTGATATGATAAATGATTATTCATTCCACAACTATTAAATTAACTGCAAGCAAAGGTTCAGCGATTCCATTCCTGAGGTCTATTAGACTAAAATGTACTGATAAAAACTGCCCTGGCCACCAGATACTTGATGTTGTGATTACCATAGGCCCATTGTTTGCAAGCCTTTAACATGCAAGGACCTGACCTTGGTCACCATCCATGGTATTGTCAAGACCATAGTGAGGAGCACAGTCCAAAAGCAGCAATGTTGAAAACCCTGTACTTACACTGGGGGATGTTCACCCAACTCTGACAGGCAGATCATCAATCAACTGGCTACACAGCACAAACTGAACCGAATATGTATATCTGTTCCAAATGTATGCACTCTATCATATTGTAGAATTAATGCAGCATTAGCTTTTGGTAGATAATTGTGAACAATCCTCATTAATATTCCTAAGAGCACATGATACATTGCTTGAAAAACAGGAAGTTGAAAAACGTACATGCAGGTAATGAATTACCCAAGTTGAACAGCAAACAGAAAGTTTGAATACATCATCCAACTGGTGACACATGGAATTCAGCGGAAAACATCAGCAAATGAAGATCATATCAGCACAAACACCAAATGGCATTTGCAAGATTAGGACAATACCACAACCAGAAACACCAAACAATCCAGTTGTGACTAAGAGATGGTCTATGCCACGACTCAAACAAAATCAACATTCTGAAAATGTACACCAGCCTCCAGCAAAAATCACTGTAACTAAATAAAAACTAAACATGGCGGATGTTGGATTCTCACTCGGCAGCGGCAAATTTCCAAATTAAACCTCATTAGTGCTTGTTAAATGCCTTGTTAACAGCCCTTGTTAATCTTCTTCCTGCTTACCCTGACGGTGGCATTGATCCAGCTGGCGATCTCTGACCACACTGGCATGGCATGCTGGCATGACCTCTTCTGCTTGTCCTCCAGGAAGAGGACTTCTCTGCTCCTCACCAGCCCATCCCCGAGGACCCTCTCAGAGAAGCAAGGTACCAGCTTCTCCCCCGCCATCTCCCCTCACTCCTTTCACAGCAGAGCACAGCAACCTCTTGATGGCTGTACTCCTGCACTTTCACAGTGGGCTTGGGAAGATTGCATTGTGAAAAGGGATGCTGGGCCTAGGGAGGACGTCCACTGAGCAACGGTGTGTTGCTCAGGGAACAGCACGTGGTAGGGTGGGTGGTAATTGGATGTGATTCTTGCTGGGAGCGCTCAAATGACAATTAATATAATGAGTTGGTAAGATTTGGTAAGACAAGATGCTCAGCATTATGACAAGAATCACTCCATAAAACGTGATACAACACACACTTTGCCAACTTGCCATGAGATTCAGCCAATGTTATTTTTGTTTGTGACTGTGTAAGTAGTTTGATATTTTAAAGGTGATGTTTTAGTTAGGAGAAAAGACACCTTTGAGGGGCATATTTTAAATTGTTGTCAATTGTTACTACCTGGACAGAGTATGATGTATTACCTGCATGACATGTAAGCAGTTGGAGTCTTCAGCAAAGGAAAGAGGAATGTATTATCTACCTGTGAAAAATATAATCATTAAGTTTTGTAAATTTCAATTCAGACAACATCTTTCTGGGATTGAGAGTTTTGAGGCTTTCACAAAAAGGAACCTTGAGATTTTAATTCTACAACGCAAACTAGAATCATAGAATTCCTACAGTGTGGAACCAGACCATTTGGCCCATCAAGTCACACCAACTCTTCAAACAGCATCCCATCTGGATCCAGTCCTCTATCCCTGCATTTCCCATGGATAATCCACCCAACTACACATCCCTGGACTACGAGAGGAAACCAGAACACCCAGCAGAAATAACAAGGTGTAGAGCTGGATGAACACAGGAGGCCAAGCAGCATCAGAGGAGCAGGAAAGCTCAAGAAGGGTCTAGGCCCGAAACGTCAGCTTTCCTGCTCCTCTGATGCTGCTTGGCCTGCTGTGTTCATCCAGCTCTACACCTTGTTATCTCAGATTCTCCAGCATCTGCAGTTCCTACTATCTCTGACACCCAGCAGAAACCTATGCAGATGCAGGGAGAATGTGCAAACTCCACACATCGAACCCAGGTTGTTGTGAGGCAACAGTGCTAACCACTGAACTACAGTGCTGCCCAATTTGTCTGGAATATTCCTAGTTATGGCTGCCCAAAACATACTGCCATAAAATATATCTATCCAGTGCCTTCACCCACGGATTTAGTTCTGTTTTACCCATCCGCTCCCAAATTACCTCACTGAAATAAAGCAACCCAATGCCATAGTTCTAGACAGGCCGACAGTACCCACTAGCTTTTTAATGCAGGAACATCAAAATTCTGTACGCTTTGACATTGACTCGAATAAAATTTGAATTGAACCCTCTAGTTGTAGCTGTGTGAAATGATAGAACAACATGAGAAGACAGGAATGATTGAAATAAATGGTAAAGCCATTCAGTTCATCGTGCTGGAATCATTTCCATTGCATTGCTACCCTGTCAGTAATCCATATCACGACTTTTCAAATGCAGCAGATTTGGACACTTTTGTGAAAAATAGTTTACCAAACACTCATCTTATTGCATCGCTCACTCAAATAAATCTTAAACAAGCTTTAGTTCATTGGACCCAAACATGAATTTTATGGTCAAATATTTTTTGGTTGAGTTATTCTTAGTCTAATGGAAAAGTTTACAGAAAATGTCTGAAACTGATGAATGTAATAACATTTCTCATTCCAATTCTTTAATAGGGATTGATCCTGAGAAAATGGTATTGGAAATAAACCTGAAAATGGAGGATGAGAAACCTTTCTATATTGAAGTGACTTCGCTGAAAGGAGTGAGTTTAACCACTGAGAGTGAAATACAATCTCATATTCAACATGATAAATCCAGTTCAACAGACCTGCCAGATACTGCAGTTGAACTCATAACTATTGCTCCAGTTTCTACGGACAGTGTAACAGATCAAGAGAATGATAATGTATCTTTGTGCACTGTACCTGAGATTAAAATCAATATTGATAGGACCCAAGTTAAAGTTGTATCCTTCTCAGACAACAGCAATAATGTCTTCTTTAACTGTGCCAATGACTGTCCAACAACCTGCAACAAGAGAAGTGGTGACTTTCAGAATATCTTGAGGACATTCTCTCCAGATGATAACATCATTGAAACAATTGCAGGAAAAACAATGGATGATAAAAACAGCAACCAGTCCAATCTAGCAGGGCTAAACCCAGAAATGACACAGGAACTGACTGATACCAAGGAGTCCCAATGCTCTAGAAACTGTAGAAGTTGCTGTACAACATTCGTCTGTAGCCTTGTTTCTGTGGGTTTGGTGTTCCTTTCACCATTAATAGTCACTGGGTATTTTTTATATGAACTTTTCAGCTGTGTATCTAAGTGTAAGGACACCTGTCCTACTTAACCCTCTGCTGCTTCTTGTGCATATTCAGGCATTTGTTTCTCAGTGTACTGGTTTGTCGAAAACTACTATGTCCTTATTTTGTCTTCTGTCTTTACATGATAATAGCTATTGATAATTGCAATGAAGGCATGATATAATTGATGGATTTCCAAAAAATGGCATAAAATTAGATAAATATTAGACTATTGTATTTTAAATTGTTTGTTATAATCTAATTAGTAACAGATAGCCTGTGAATCATCATGTTACCATTGATAATGTGAAAAACCCTTCATGAAAACTGATGAAATACCATTGCCAATGGGTGAGAATTCACTTTGTGATTATAAATATCTTTTATATCTCACTACTGACCATGACATAATCTATTTATATTACTTACCGAGTACTTTCAACTGAATAAATAAGTATGTTGATCTTTTAATTGATAATTAAGCCATAAACTTCACATTTCAATTCTCCACATTGCTCCCACTTTGACCGTTCTGTCCTTATTCTTCTGCAGTGTTGTATTGAAGCTCAACACAGGCTTGAGGCACAACAGTTTATCTTTTGACCAAGCACTGTACAGTCTTTTTGACTCAACGTTGAATTCTAACAACTTCATAGAGAATCCCTACAGTGTGGAAACAGGCTCTTCAGCCCAACAGGTCAGCACTGACCTTCAGAGCATCCCACTCAGACCCATCCCCCTATAACCCACCTAATCTACATATCCCTGAACACTACAGGAAATTTAGCATGGGCAATCCACCTAGGCTGCACATCTTTGGACTGTGGGAGGAATCCAAAGCAGCCGGAGGAAACCCACACAGACACAGGGAGAATGTGCAAACTCCACACAGTGGAATCAAACCTGGGCCCTGGCACTGTGAGGCAGCAGTGCTAACCACTGAGCCACCATAGCACCCCAACTCTCTGCCTCCGTCTTGTTCCTTTCTTTACTGATTCTATCTTGTTGTGCTTTTTCCTTATCTCTTAATTTTTAATCTGGACAGTTGCTATGCAGTCATTCACATTTCATCTGGACACATTAGGTGGAATTTTATAGGGCCTTGAACAATCTGGGCTATGGCAAAACATCTGAGAGAATCGAAAAGAGTGAGGCCTTTCTCCATGTCTTGGCGTTACGATGATTTCTGGCTAGTAGCAAGAAGCCAATTAAATGGAATTATAGTTTATTGTAAAACTAATTAACTGCACTTCTCACCTCAGTAATATGCAACTTCCTATCCTATCCATGAGGAAATGATGCTGTAACTTCTTGATATAGCAGTCTGAGTTGGTGACTCCAGCTTGCTGTTTGCTCCTAAGGGCTTCCATTGGATACCTGGCTCTAGCGACTCAGGATATGCTCCTTGAGCAGCGACCGTGCACACATCACATCCACGGATAATGGCATTGGATATTTGCCAGCCTATATACATCATTATGGCATTTCCCTGATCCACTTACAGTACGCTTCTGCAATTTAAAGCTGTGCCTCAGGGTGCACCAGCAGCTATTATTGCAATGCTGCACTCAGGGACAGGCTATATCTCTATGCTGTTCATTTACTCTCTTAGAGTTCAATCTTTTTGCATGTTCACAGCACCTTTACCTGGCTTTGCCAATTTTCACTTTGTCCCCTCTCAGAGCTACCAGGCTCACAGTATTTTTGTTTTGCGTTGGCATTTAGCACAGACACAAAGCCTGGCAGCTTACCATGCTTGCCAGCAGTCTGCAGTCAAGTAAAGGGAGACAGCTTTCAGACAAGGGGTTCCAGCACAGCACGGATAGCCTCCGAAACCGGTCCAGGGGTTTGAACACTCTCAGTCAGTTACATGGCGTGATCAGGATCTTAACCTTGTAAGAGGTCAGGAGCCAAAGGTTGAGCAGCCCATCACCCATCTCGTCTCTTTCTGCCCTCTTGTGGGCTGTTTTCTCCTAGAATGACTGAAAGAGATGAAAGTGGGTGTTATTTGGTGCAGCTGAACGAAAAGTGTCTAGTTGTCCCGAGTGAGTGAATAGACAGTGCAGAGCCCATCAGCGTTAAAGGCGTTGGGGATTCAGGTGGTGAGAACAAATAAGGGAAAATGTTGCAGGCAGTAGTGAAAATCACAGAGTCATAGAGTCACACAGCACAGAAACAGACCTCAACCATGATGTCAAGATATCCCAATCTGACCTAGTCCCCATTTGCCAGCATTTGGCCCATATCCCTCTAAACCCTTCCTATTCATATACCCATGCAGATGCCTTTTAAATGTTGTAATTATACCCGCAGCTCATTCCATACATGCACCACCCTCTGTGTGAAAAAGTTGTCCATCAGATCCTTTTTAAATATTCCCCCTCTCACCTTAAACCTATGTCCTCCACTTTTGGACTCCCCCACCCTAGGAAAAAGACCTTGGCTGTCCATGCCCCTCATGATTTTATAAACCTCTATAAAGCCACCCCTCAGCCTCTGAGGCTCCAGAGACAATAGTCCCAACTTTATTCAGCCTCTCGCTGTAGCTCAAACCCTCCAATTGCGGCAACATCCTTGTACGTCTTTTCTGCACTCTCTCAAGTTTAACAAATCTTTCCTACAGAAAGGTGACAAAATTGTATGCAGTATTCCTAAAGTGAAAGAGCTTGAGCCTTGGTGGGATGTGGGTGCAGTGCAGATATAGTTTAAGGAGGCAGAGAGAAGATGTTACCTATCCTTTGGAGCACAGAAGACCATTGACTTCTTCCTACACTAATGGGCATTCCTAAAAATGGCTGAAACTGCACTGACCTGGGTAAGAACCTTGGACCAGGCTGACAGGGTGTGGTGACCCAGCCTCTTCCGCAAGTCCAGAGAGAACAGCACAGCTCTTCTCTCCATCACCCTATCCACCAAGACTTACAGATCCCTGTCCCCAGTGCAAAGCACCAAATTCCCCTTATCCACCATGTCAGGCAAATGTCACAGGGCGTGCAGGGCAGCTCTGGACTGACAGCATTTGTCCAGGTGCACATTGGACTTTTAAAGATGGTGCCTTCACTAGGGATGCTGGTCCATTCTGGAATATGCCAGCAGTGGCAAGTTCTTCCAGGTACAGTGATTGATGGAATTGAGCTAGCATTGGACTTTATCATCAACTCAGGATGAGAGTTGGTAGCTAATGATGCAAGTTTAGGACAACGGCATGATAAAACTCATGGAGAGAAACCCTCCATGAGCTCAACAAAACCTACACAGTCAAAAAAGTAAGCTTCAACACATTACCACTCTCTTTAGCACCATGCTATCTTTTGTAATTTAATCTCACTTGCTCTCCACCCTATTACAAATCTTCCATCTTATTCCTGCCTTTCCCTTCTTCCACTGGCTCAATCTCTTGTTGTTATCCACCTGTATCACATGCACCAATTCTGGACGAGTTTCATTCAGGAATTGGTCAATATTAAAACTCCTGAAGTGAAGCATTCCGAGTGTCCTTGAAGTGCTTCCTCAGACTGCTGTTGCGGCACACCTCAGACTTGAGCTCTCCACAGATTCACTTTAGGAAGCAAGTGTCAAGTGTTTGGCCTATGTGACCAGCCCAATTCAGTTGTGACTGTCTCAGTATGGTGTGGATGTTTGACCTATCAGTTTGTGTGAATGAATGGAAGAAACAAGCACAAATGAAACTCTTTATTTCTCACTCTGCACCTAATTTTACCCTAATTTGTTTATTTACTGTTCTCTCATTCCACTACTTGTTCTTAATCATTAAATCTCATTAGTCGCTGCTGAGACCTCACCCTGCTTACCAGAGTACTCAGGCACAGTAAGTTAAAGGCAGTCTCTGATACCAGTTCAGAGGCTTGGAAATTATCACAGAGTGTGAGTGTTTCGGAGTGGAAAATATCACTTTGAATTTCAGTCAGTGTGGGGATTTAAAATAATAAATTCATGGGATGTGGTTGTTGCTGGCATGGCTAGCATTATTTACAGATGTCTGGACCTAGGTTCTCAGCCATTCCAGCTGGCAACTAATAGTCAACCACCTTGTTGTGGGTCTGTAGTCACATGTAGGCTAGACCAGGTAAGGATGGCAGATTCCACCCCCACCCCTCAAAGAAATTACGACAATCGATGGCAGTTTCATGGTCACCATTACTGAGAGTACCATTCAATTCCAGATTTTATTTGCTGACACCACTACACAGTGCCTAAGTTTGCACATCTGCATTTAAACACATTTGGCTTGCAGCTATGAGCATAGTGGGCCTGGGTAAACAGGGTTTCTGAGGGTAGGGAAGAAGGGGTGAGGATAGAGTGGGGTGTTGTGGGGGGAGGGCCTGGGAGCAGAGAGAGGGGTTTCTCCCATCGTTCTCCTCTCCTCCCACCCCTCTGCCCCCACCCTCGGCTGTGACTGTCTTCCCTCCTCCCTGCTGAGCTCATTTCAATATCATGTTCCTTCTGTCTGCGTGCACACTGTGGTATTTGCATATGAGGTCATGGCAAGTTGACATGTAAATGTTGCAGCTGTGGAATTTTGTGTGTGCACACTTCCAGATAAACGTGTATGTGCAGGTGCAGGTCAGTCTTTATTGAATTCAAGTTCCAGTTCCCAGGATAGAATTTGTACCCACGTTCCCTGAGGATTTTGCCTGACCCTCTAGATTAATAATCCAGTAACATTACCACTACAGCATCATCACCCACACTTGAAAAGAATTTAGACAATTTAAATACAGCTCTTAGCAGAACAGGCATGAAGATCAAAACAATTTAGATCTACTGGTATTCAATTGGGCGATCCTATTCAGTGTTGTGGGGAATAGTTGCTCAGAAAACCTATGGTGTTCAGTCCTTCATTGAAATACAAAGATTGAACTGACATTTATATAGTGTCTTTCATGACCTCAGGGTGTCTCAAAGCACTTTACAGCCAGTTAAGTACTTTTGAAATGTAATGCTAGGAAACATGGGAGCCAATTTGCATACATCAAGACCCAGAAACGGTAATGAGATGTTAAACAAATTTTCTGAAGAAGGGTCTAGGCCCAAAACGTCAGCCTTCCTGCTCCTCTGATGCTGCTTGGCCTGCTGTGTTCATCCAGCCAGACGAACGGTCAGTCCTCAGTAAAGGACTCACCTTTGTCCCCCTCCACCCACAGATCAACGAATACCGCTCACGTTTGGACATTGAGCAGTTTTTCCGCCGCCTCCGCCTCCACGCTTACTTCTTTAACCGTGAACCTAACCCTCCCTCTACTGACCCCTTCTCCCGCTTCCAACACACCCCCTCCTCCTGGACACCACCCCAAGGCCTCCTACCCTCCCTCGACCTCTTCATCTCCAACTGCCGTCGAGACATCAATCGTCTCAACCTCTCCACCCCTCTC